TAGGCTTCTGCTGCCTCATCTGAAGATAACAAGACTGACTTTTCAATCTCTAGTTCTCACTTCCTATATGTAATTCAGACACCTTGGAACTGTTTCTAGAAGGAGAAAAGCAGAATCCTCAGTACTACCATTGAGAGAGCTCTAAGACTCAGCCACCAGGCTCAGGCCTAACTGAACCTCTAACTGCATGAATGGAAGTGTCCTTTATTCATTCAGCAAACATTTATGATCCCCCTGCTAAGTCCATACCTCCATGACTACGTAAGATATATTCCTTGCTGGAAGGGAAACACTTTGTGTAGATAGAAGGCTTCTATAGGGTGAACAGTGCCCAAGAGATAGAAGTGTAGATGATCCAGGCTGGAGCAGAAAGGGTAGGGAGGAGTCAGGGAGGATGTGTTGTCACTTTCCCACCACTGTGGCAAAATGTCTGAGATAAATCACTTTAGAAGGTGGAAGGATTTCTTTTGGCTCACAGTTTCAGAGGATTCAATTCATGGGTGTTGGTCCTGTTGCTTGGGGCTGTGGTGAGGCAGAAGATCCTAGCAGGGAGCACATGAAGGATCAAAGCTGCCCACCCCTCAGGGGCCCTGAGGCAGAGAAAGTGGAGGGCTGGGCTCCCAAAATCCCCTTCAAGGACATACACCCAATGACCTAGCTCTCTTCCACTGGTCGCACCTCCTGAAAAATTCCACCACTTCCCAGCAGCAGCACAGGCTAGTGACAAATCTTTGTGGAACATTTAAGACCCAACCTCAACAGAAGGCTTCCCAGAGGAGGTGATGCCTGGCTTGAAGAAAGAAGTTTACAGAACTCAGAGTGCATTTGTTCATTTGCAAGGAAGTTACAAAGACAGCACCAGCACTGTGTGCTGGGCACCAGGCTAAACACTTTCTATAAAGTGTCTCAAGCCAGGCATGGGGACACATCCCTGTAACCCCAGCAAGCTGAGGCAGAAAGATCACAAGTTCAAGCCCAGACTAGGCAATTTAGTGACTTAGCAAAACCCTGTCTCATAATAAAGAAATAAATGGGCAGGGGCTGGGGGATGTAGCTCAGTGGTGCCATACCTGTCTGGAAAGCACAAGATCCTAAATTTGATCCCTGATACTGAAAAAAAAAAAAGAAGAAGAAGGAAAGAAAGAAAGGAAGGAAGGAAGAAAAGAAAGAAAGAGAAAGAAAGAAAGAAAGAAACAAAGAAACAAAGAAAGAAACAAAGAAAGAGAAAGAAAGAGGAAGAAAGAAAGAAGCTAGTGATGGAGCTCAGTGTGAAGGCCCTAGGTTCAATCACCAAGTACTGAAAAATAAAAATAAAAAATAAAGTGTCTCCATTTGCCAGATGAAAACACTGAGGCAGAGAGAGGTTCTGCACCTCGCCCTTGGTTGCAAAGCTGGGCAGTGGAGAGGCCTTGGGTCTGACTGGCCTCTCCAAGATCTGTCTGCAGAGTTCAATTCTTCTGTTGTTAATACCTGTCACGGTTTGTAGCTTTTGGGTAAAAAGAGAAGAAGCAGAAAAGTTAAGGGGTAACAGAAATTTAAGTAAATGTTCCACATACATACAAAACAAGTAGAGAAATCTAAATGAAAAGATTCTTTTGACAGGCTTTTTTTTTTTGTATGGGGGACTGAACTCAGGACCTTGTGCTTTCAAGGCAGCCAGCAGCATCACTGAACTAAATCCCCAGCCCTAACAGGCTTTTTAAAGAGGAAAAAAAGCATGGCTTGTCAGCAGACGAGAGAAGAACCTATGGGCCTAGCAGGTGCAGCTTCCACCTCCTCAGCAGTGGCAGGGACAGTGGCAGGGGCACAGGGGCCACAGCTCTGCTCTGGGATCCGCAGCACCTGTGACTTCAATAACAGCACAGCGGTCCTGTGCAGTTCTGAGGTCAACCCTCTCCTTACAGAGAGCTCCTTGCCGCCCACCCCAGGCAGGTTCTCCCCTCCCCTGCCCCAGCCAAGGTGATGCTTGGGTGTTTGCGTCCCGAGTCTCATGTTTGTCTTGTGTTTCCGTGTGTGTGTGTGTGTGTGTGTGTGTGTGTGTGTGTGTGTGTGTGTGTGTGTGTGGGCTCCAGCCCTGGGCTGAGGCTGGTGGAACTAGAAGGCCTTACATTCTGAAAGGCCCTCAGGCACAGGCCCTGGGGGGAAGGTGGAAGGTGAAAGCCTCTGGATTGATCCCCCAAACCATTAGGGCTTCTCAATGTGTTCAGATTTTCTCTTGGCTGGGTTTCCTCACTGTAATGGTATTGAGAGGCAGTGAGGCCGTTAAGCGAAGTGAAATCACGAGGACTGCACTCTCACAAGGGCATCCATGCAGTTCCCTGGGGAGTGGTTGGCTGCTGTGACAATGGCTTCTCCAGGAGTAAGGCCGGCTCCCTGCCTTGCCTGCCTTCTGCCGAGAGGCCTCTCAGGAAGCTGAGAAGGTGCTGGACCATGCTCTCAGATTTCTAGAACTAGGTGCTAAAATAAACCTCTTTTGCCCAGTCTCAGGGACTCTGATACAGCAACACAAACTGGACTAAGACACAGGTGAATCTATAAGTGATAAAGATATAAAAATATGCAGGAGAACTGGCAAATATCAAGTTTAAGGGACTAGCAGCCTCTGCAGGGAAAGAGAGGTACAGGTGATTATGTGTCTGAATGTGTTCTGCACTGTTGGAACAGGACACCTGAGACCAGACAATGCACGGAGAACAGAAACTGATTCTCCTACAGTTCTAGAGGCTGAAGTCCAAGAGTGAGGTGCTGGCTCTGGTGTGGGCATTTTTCCCATGTCCACACATGGGAGAAGTAGAGGGGAGGAGAGAGCACAGCTTGTCCTTCTAAGGCAGAAGAGGAAGACAGCCAGCCCTACCTTTCAGGCCCCTTGACACCAGCATCAGTACATTCATGTGGGCAGAGCCAGCCTGACCTAAAAGCCTTCCACCAGGCCCACTTTCAACACTGTGGCAGTGGAAGTCAAGTTTCCAGCCCTGAGTTCTGGAGGAGACAAAAACATCCAACCACAGCAGTAAGTGATCTGATAAAGTCATAAACTGTATCTAAATGTGTCTATTTTGTTTGTTTCTTTGTTTGTTTAGGGCTTTTTTCTTTTTTGAGACAGGGTCTCGCTAGTTCAGGCTGGCCTTGAACCCACTATGTAGGCCATGCTGGCCTCAAACTCGTGGCCATCCTCCTGCCTCTGCCTCCCAAGTGCTGGGACTACAAGCATGTGCCACCACACTCGGCTCTAAATGCTTATTTCTATAGGGAAAAAAATGTGAATCCAATATGGCAAAATGTTTAAACTTCACAAAGACACATGGAAAGTCCCTGAGTAATGATTTTACAGTATTTTTCTGTACTGTGCACATTTAAGACATTTTATAGATTTTTTAAAAGCAGCTAAAACTTGTAAGTTATTATTCAAAGTTCTACTTTAGTTTGTCCCAGTACTTCTTAGACATCAGGTTATTTTACTAAAGGAAAGAAATCATCCTTCTCTGGTTCACAATCACGAAATGGCAAGGTTTCAATTCTTAGCAAAATTACACCAATGTGGATCCTCAGCTTTTGGTCAATACAAATCCGCCCTCTGCTGGTTCTATCACGGTCTGCACTCAATTTGGCAATCATGGAGAAGTGAATTCTTCAATGACAGTGTTTTTTGAGCCAATGGTATTAAATAAAGAGGCCCTTACAAGCAGAAGTTATAATTACAGAATACCTTGGGCTGAACCTATATGAATTCTGGTACTTGGGAATTGCAAAAGTGCATTGTTTATATGAGTGCTTATCTGAATATCTGCCTGTTAAATCATGTTCCTTTATGTGTGGACTGTAGAGTCACTTCTTATATGATCACTCTAGTAAATTAAAATATGAATAGAAAAAGGAGCCCTTGAAGAATTCCTCCTGTCATGAAGATAATCAGCCACTACCCTTCATTAACGTTACACATTATACAGATCAAAATGAAGTCTCAGATACAACCCCAGTCACCCTTTCCAGTTTCCTCAACCAAATTGTTCATGAAAGATCTTGCCCTCTTTCAAGTCTGCAGGTTGGTGTGTGAAAGAGCAAGTGTTTAGGAATGGCAAAAGGGACCCCAAGTCACAAAGAGGTCGGGATGGGGACCAATGGGCAATTGAACATTGAAAAAAATGAATTAATTGTGGTACTGGAAGGCTAGTTGTGTGACATCCATACGACTTCCTCATAGGATGACATTTTTTAAAATTTTAGAAAAAAATAAATAAATCTCCCAATCCGTTATTTCCTTTTTCTGATTTCTCCTCCAATTCTTATCCATCTGGATTTTACTGAATTCTAACACACTATTTTATAGTCTATATTTTTAACTTGTCATAATATCATCAATTCTTTCCATATTGGTTATCTTTTTTAACCATAATCTTAAATCTCAAAGTAATGTATATAAGTTATTTCCCAAATCTTCCTTGGTCACCTGTTTCTAATTTTCTGTTATTAGCAGTAATGTAATAAATAAATTGTTGCAAAGCATGTTTCTTCTTGTGAATTATTTCCTCATGATAAATACCCAAGTATGAGATTCCTGATCAATGGCTAGAATATTTTCCTGGGGTTTTTTTGGGGGGAGGGGATTGTTTGTTTTGGTTTGGTTTGGGGCTTTTGTTTGGCTTTGGTTTTTGTTTTGCTTTGTTTTGGTTTTTTGTTTTGAAACAAGGTCTCTGAGTCACTAAGTTGCCTGGGCTGGCCTCCTGCCACCTGCTTACTCAGCCTCCTGGAGTCCTGATATTACAGGTTGGCACCACTGTGCCCAGCGATTTTTCTGGTGCTTGTATCACTTTCCCAGAGGATATTTTAATACTAAAGTTAATATCCCTTGCTCTGCTAGCATGATTCCTGCAGCATTTGCTGGTTTCCTAGGTACATAAACCTCACGTCCCAGTTAGCAGGCTGTCAACTACTCCTTGGATAGACATTTTCCTTTGTCTGATCTCCCGGTGTAACCGTTGCATCCTTCACTGTTTTCACAGACCCAGAGCCAAGGAGTGTGATCCTCAAACCCCTCAGTGCTCCCCTGGGCAAGCACATCCAGATCCTTGAGGCAGACACAGTAAAAAACATGTAAGTATTCAAAGTTAGAATGGCAGGGGACTTCTCTACTTTCATATTTTTCTTTATTTGTAATTAATTTAATTTCCGTTTTTCTCTGACACACATGAGCACTCTCAGCTGATAGTATGTTGAATGCTGGAATTAAATGAAACATGCTCAGGGAAGATTACATTGTGATGAGTCCTGTTACTTAAGCCACATGCTTAAAGCTGAGTGGGTGAAGAGTGAAGTTTAACAATGGGATCCAGGGCCTGGGATTTAGCTCAGTGGTTCTGCCACCTGCCTTGAAAGTGGAAGGTCCCAAGTTCAATCCCCGGTACCAAAATAAATAAATAAATAAATAAATAAAACAATGGGATGCAGCTTTTTCCATTTGTCCAAATATCTGAGATGCACAGAGGTGCCCAGGACGCTGTCTATCTAGCAGTTCAGCCAATCAGGCCAGGTCATTTGACCAGAGACCCCCTGCAGCTGTGGGGCTGGTGCAATGTCTCTGTTTTGGGGTTTTGGGGGGGGGTGTTGTTGTTGTTTTATTGTTTTGGGTACCAGAAATTGAACTCAGGACTTTGCACTTGCCAGGCAGGTGCAGCACCACTGAGCTAAATCCCCGACCTCTCTGTGTATGTTTGTTTGTTGTGAACCAGGGTCTCACTTTGTAGTTTAGGTTGGCCTCAAACTCACTATGTAGCCAGGCTAGCCTTGAACTCTCAGTGATCCTCCTGCCTCGGCCTCTCAAGTGCTGGGATTACCTTGTGTGCCACCTTGCTCAGTTTATATTATTTTGATACAGTGTCTCACTACATCCCCCAAGCTGGGCTCAAACTTGGAATCCTCCTAAGTGCTGGGATTACAGGTATGTGCCACCATGCCTGGCTCAAGGATAGTTTTTTGTTTTGTTTTGTTTTTGGTTTGTGGTACTGAAGATTGAATCTAGGGCCTTTGCACTGTGCTGATCTCCAGGCCTTTTTATTTTTATTTTGGGACAGGGCCTCATTAAGTTCCCCAGTCTGTCCTAGAACTTTGCAATCCACCTGTCTGGGCCTTCCAAATAACTAGGATTACAGGCATGTGTCACCGCACCCAGCTCATTTTTAAAATTTTGACAGCTTTTCTCACAATATATTCAAACTAGTTAGTACTACAGCAACCCACCATCAAAAAAGATGAAGTAAAGAAAAATTTTTATTGATCAGGAAAGCAATGAAGACATAAATAAAGCCAAATGTGGTGGTACACATCTGTAATCCCAGCACTTAGGAGGTGGAGGCAGGAGGATTGCTTCGAGTTCAGCCAGCCTGGGATTCATAGTGAATTCAAGACCAGCCTGAACTACATAGTGAGACCCTGCCTCAAAAAAAAAAAAAAAAAAGCCCCACAACAGCCACTCTAATCACTGTGACTAAGTTTCAGATCCAGTGCAGAGATTCTTAGATGTGAAAGATGAAGAAGAAAATAAAGAGCACGCATTCAGGTTTGTGGTGCTCATTTGCAGGCTACCTGATCCTTACGGAAAATAAAGGATTTTCTAGCACTCAATTCTGAAGGAGACTTCTATGTTTTGTTTTTTTTATAGAGTGACAGTGAATGATTTAGAGACTTGTATATTTACAGGAAATTCCATTTACCTCACTCAACAAATATTTCTCAGGTTTCCACAGTAAGGCCCTGTGCCTGCCCAGCTCAGTAAATACACCAGTTTAGCTACAAAGAGAAGCTGCCTGGCCGAAGACCTCGACCTGGAGCACACAGTGTGGCTGCTGCTGGGCTGGTGCCCGGTGGCCTCTTCACCCACAGGCGCAGTCAGAGATGGACGTGACCACGAATAAACTCAGGGGGCTAAAGGAAGAGACAGCTGTGTTCTCCTGAGATGATCTTTCTCAAAGGGCACTCTTTTTTCCCAGTGATACCTTTGACGGAGGGAACTGCACTTACGTACTTTTATGTCACTCACTTGAAGATGCAAATACCTGTGTCCCTACAAAGAGGCAAAGTGCGCTGTGCACTCTGAGGGTTAGGATTTATGGAAAAGGTGAGGGCTGATCTTCATGATCTCCCCACCAGAGTCCGTTGAGGAAAAGAAAGTCAACCCCATATGTCATGTTCCCAGAATGGGGCCTGGTGAAAACAGGTGCCCAACTGATGCTTGTTCACTTGCCCTCTTCCTCCTGACAGACCTCTCTCTTTCACTTGGTCCTGTTGGTTTGCTCTTTTTCACAGGGACGGGGATGACAGAGCTCACGGCTTCCACACAGTACTTCCTGGACCTGCATCTGAATCACCTGAGAACTTGGGTGTTGTGGATGTATCTTCTTTGCCAAGAGCAAAAAAAGAGAAAACTGAATCAAGACTGCTTAACCAGCATGCACCAGCCAGCATCCATCCTGTGAGTGTAAGGTCCTAGGAGCCTGGATCCCATCAAGGCTACCATGTGTGGTAGTCTAGGTTGCTCACTATACACAGGCTCCTAACAAAAAGGACCCAGAGGACAGAGGTCCACCTGCAGTCTGCTCACCAAGCCCTGCACTTCAGCATAGGGCTGAAGGACAGGGCCCCACTGTTAATTCCTGTGGAGGCAGCCATGACCCGACTCTGCCCTCCTGTCTCAGGAGGACCCTCATGTTGTCCTGGCCCACAGGGAGAGTGTAGACGAATGCAGCTGTGCTCTCCTGTTTGAAGTTTCCTGAAAATGAACAAATGATGGAACACTGAATGACATTGGCCTCAGTTTGAAGTAATGAACCACTAATGATGGCAGCAGCACTCTATCAAAGGCAAAAACTGCTGCATTTGGTTCAGCTCTGTAGAAGGTGATCCAGCATGAAGAAAGGTGAAGGGCCAGGCTTGGTGGTTTAAACCTGTAATTCCAGAATTCTGGGAGGCTGAGACAGGAGGCTCACCGGTTCACACCCAGCCTGGGCAACTTAGGGACTTAGCAAGACCCAGTCACAAAATAAAATAAAATGGTAAAACAAGGGCTGGGGATGTAGCTTAGCGTGAAAGCCCTGGGTTCAATCTGCAGTGCTGGGGGAGTGGGGTCCACAAAAAGTATCTTGTTTTCTTCCTCTTTTCTTCCATGAAATTATCTCTGGCCACTTTTTTTTTTTTTTTTTTTTTTTTTGGTATCAGGGATTGAACTTGGGTCCTTGTGCTTGCGAAGCAGGCGGTGGAACCACTGAGCTAAATCCCCGGCCCATCTCTGGCCATTTTAAATCAAAGGTTCAATCTCCCAATCTCTCCACTGGCTCTACAGTCTCTAAGACTCATTCTTCTTTTTCACCTGGAACTCACAAAAGTTCCATTCTAAGCCATTCTGTCAGCTCGTTCAACCTAGACCTTCTTTGATAGGTTTTTCCATTTCCTAGATGCACCATAGTACCTCTCTTTAATTTCTTACCTTTAGGAGAGGGAGTTAATTGACAAGACCAAGAGAAAGAAGAAAACCAAGACAGACAAGACCACAACGCCCACAAGGCAGAGAGAAGGAAGGGTGCCTGGGGAAGCAGAAACTGCAGGAGGTAAGAGGGGACGTCTGGGGAACAGCCCCAAGACTCTTGACTCGGCCAGAATCAGCCTGGATTCCTCAAGATGGGCTCTCTGTCTGAAGATGGAGCCCAGGGCTTTCTCAACAGAGCTATATCCCCTGCCCTTTTTTATTTTTCATTTTGAACTGGGGTCTTGCTAATTCACTAAATTGCCCTGCCCTGTCTGGGCTTGAACTTGTAATCCTCTTGCCTCAGCCTCCCAGGCATGTGCCACCGCACCTGGCTCAAACTCTGTCTTGAGCCTCCTTGACTACCACCGCTGAGACGGTATTGCAGCCTTACTTCACAGCGCTATCCTAGTGGACAGGGATGAAGGAAACTGAGGGTGGGACCTAAGGCCTGTGTCCACTGAGGAAATGATAATGGCAGACCCTGCATCTGGAGCTCTACAGATGGGACCCAGGAAACCCCCACATCGTCATAAAGCTCAATAGTGCTACCATCACATTCATGGAACAGTTGAGGCTGAGATGCTGGGTGCTTGCATGAGATCAAACAGTAAAAAGGTAAGGCCAGGCTTGTCCTTTCCTATTCACTCTCCAGACAAGCTATTACTGCTCCTCTGTGAACTGCTAGCTACAGGCTGAGCATCCCTGCTCTGAACATACAAAGTGCTCCAAAACCTGAAGCTTTCTGAGTACCAACAAGATGCTCCAAATGGCGGAATCCACTTCTGACCTCCCTTGATGGGAGGCCCTGGTAGTGCAGGTGCACTGGGAATATTGAATACAATTACCTGCAGGCTGTGTGCAGGAAGTGTGTGTATGTACGTATGTATGTATGTACATGGAGCATAAATAAATCTCCTGTTGTAGACTTAGGTCCCATCCCTAAGATTTCTTATCATGAAAATGCATTTATTTAAAAATCAGAAAATATTCAAAATCCAAAACACGTCTGGCTCTAAGCATTTCAGATGAGGGAGGTGAGAGCTGTTTGTCATGATGAGTGTTCAGGTATAAAGTTTGGGGAGAGGGGCAGATGCAGAAAGCTCTGAATGATCCTTTCATCTGCCATGCTCCCTCTCGGGCTCCTGTGTTGTGCCTTAGAAGGAACTCAGGTCCCTGTACTTCTGAAGACTTCCTTTCATTTGCAACATACCCATCCTTTACTGCCTACATAATTCAGAAAACCCTCCAAACAAATCACAAGCTGTTAGAAGGGACAACATTGGATACACTCCTGGGACCAGATCTTTTTTTTGGTACCGGGGATCGAACTCGGGTCCTTGTGCTTGCGCAGCAGGCGACAAAACCACTGAGCTAAATCCCCGGCCCTTCCAGATCTATTTTTGAAAAAATACTTATGGCCTCAGTGGTGAACTGAGGAAGGGGCCTTAGTTTTTGTTTTGTTTTTTTTTCTTTTAAATTCTTTTATTGGTACATTTTAGGTATACCATATATTTACATTCATCATTGGAAACTTGTACCTTTACATGATGTATCTTGATTCTTATTTTTTCCCTATTCCCCTGCCCTCCCTTCAACCCCTCCACCCGAAGGGGCCTTAGTTTTAAACTTCACCAAATTACAAAGTGGCAGCCTCAAGCCAGACTCTCAGGAATTTCTGGCTGTGTCCACAGGTCCCCACTGGAGAGTCTTCCCCACCACAGGTGAAATGCTGGAGATTGTGATACTGGAGATTGAACCCAGGGCCTCACACATGCTAAGCGTGTGCTGTACCACTCAGCTACATATTCAGCCAAAAAATAGAACTTTTCAAGAGCAGTGCTACAGAATGATGCTTGATCCAAATAGGGTAAGGTAGTTTCTCAACGGGTGGTCTGAGAACTGCTCTTCTCAGAACTTCACTGCCATGCATATTCCTGCTGACATAGGTTCTGGGGGTGGCACTCCGGAGCTGCACCCCAAGTAATTCCATCCTGCGCTACAGTTTCAAGGTTACTGACAAGGATGTGCCCAGATCACATTTCCTTACCTTTGTCCCTAACTGTTCTTCCCCAGGCAAGTCAAAGGACTCAAAGGCTGAAAAGAAATCAGAGCCAATTCCCAAACGAAGAGACCCAAGATCCAAAAGGAAAAGGACACAGAAGGAAGTAAATGTGGAAATGGCGGCAGGACTGAGTGGGCCTGACATCACCAGTTCCAAGGAAACAGAGGGCGCCTCAACTGGGGGTTCGCTCCCTGAGCACCCTAGTGCAGAGGACCCTTGGCCTCCTGCCATGTATAATGCTCAGGACATCCACCTTTCCATAGATGCAAGATCATCACCCATCCAGACCACAGTAGTCACAGGCAGCATAGAAGCTGAAGAAGAGAGATGCCGTGCAGCCCCTTCCCAGGTAAGTTCTGATGCTGTCTCCTGCTGTCTGAGACTGCAGTCCCAGAGAATCTGCCCCGCGTGGGCTGTAGTTCTTGAAACGGCTCTGCTAGATAACAGTCTCACTTCTGCTGCTCTGTGCCTTCCAACCGTAGTTCTGAGCTGGGCCTGGTCAAAGATGAGGAGGCAATGCCCCTCTTATCTGAGGCTTTCTGTGAGGCCTCGGAAGTGTCAGGGCATGAATCCAGCCCTCGGAGAGAAAGAGGTAGGCACACAGTGTCCGCCTGTGACCCGTGCGGGGCTGATCACCAGGACAGGTGGATGCTGGCTGGCAGAGGCAAGCACAGACCCTTAGCCTGGTCTACAGCTCACCCATCAATCACCTCCTGAAGCCCTTTCCAAGTCTGCTTCTCTGCAGTACCCAACTAGGCCAGAGGTAGCTTGAACACGCACATCTACTTTTAAAACATCTTTTCTTATTGATACATATTTGCGGTGCATAATGATTACATTCATCATTCTTTTCTCATCTCCCCACCTTCCCTCCCTGCACATCTACTTTTACAAGGTGCTTTTTCACACAGAAGCCACTTTATACCAGGAGCCTTGAATCAAATGTGAAGGTCTGAAGAGAAAAAATTACTCTTGAAATTCTTGGCAGTTAGCCAAGAAGAATGTCATATAGATACTTCACCTCTCAGCAAGACCACCATGCCCCATTTCCCTCTGCTGTTAAAATGTATCACTTATTTCTTCCACTGAGATGCAGGTGCTAAATGACCCTTAGAGGTCTTCTACCCAAAGCAAGTATCTTTGGGGGTTTATTTTTATTTTATTTTATTTTTGGTACCGGGGATCGAACTCAGGACCTTGGGCTTGCCAGGCAGGCGATGGAACCACTGAGCTAAATCCCCAGCCCCAAAACAAGTATCTTTAAACACCGTGTTTCCCCAAAAATAAGACCTAGATGGAAAATGACCCCCAAAATGCCATCCCCTATCAGCCTATCCTTGCCTTACCTGCCTCACAGACTAGCCACCAAGCAAGAGGATAGTGATGGCAGATGAGGCAAGGATAGGCTGATGTGGCTGGCATTTTTCATCTCTAGTTTTCAAGGCTGATTATTTTCTGGTTAGGTCTTATTTTCAGGAAAAGAGGGCACTACCAATACACACAGCTAAGCCTCTGTCACTGAACTTGCTTGGCTTACAGGTACATGTAGTAGATGCTGCTGAGTCTCGCTTCCCCTTCACACCCATATTTGAGAGCCAACTGTGACTAGCCTCGGTTTGAGCTCCCAGTTAAGCATCACTGCCAGAAATTACACAGCCAAGACTTGAACTCAAGTCCTTTAATTCCAGTAGTGCTCTTGTCACTATTTTAACTATTTTATAGTGTAGTGAAATCTGTCAAAAAGATTTCAAGATTTTTCTTTATAGTTCTCAGACCCACCCCCTTAGCTGCCTGGAATTCTGCTCTCTGTGACAGGTGAAAATTTTAATCTGTAGGCAGAACTTTTCTGAGCCAGCTAGATCACAGAACTTCTTAGATCTATTGTCAATTCCTAGTATCATGCTGCCTCTACAAAGGTTAAAAAGCAAGTTTCACTGCAGTTTGGGTGCAGAGTTCCCATGGAAGAACCAACTCTCAAAGTACCCCTCACAGGTATATTTCTGAGTGAAGAGGAAGAATTAGGAGAAATAGAAAACGACAGCAACTGTCATATACACTAAAAGAAAACTTTTTGTTAGCCGGGCTTGATGGCACATGCCTGTAATCCCAGTACTCAGGAGGCTGAGGCAAGAAGATCACCTTGAGTTCAACAACAGCCTGACATACAGAGCAAGATCCTGTCTCAAAAAAAACAAAAAAAAAAGTTTAAAAGGTGGGTTTTACAAGATTTAATGTGAGTCTGACCTCTTATAACTAAGATCACCTTTGGTCAAATAGCCGCTATCTAGACCCTGTAACTTCCAGCTCTGGCTCCAAGTTACATGTTAGAAGCTTTCTTTTCCTCTTTTTCTTCTTTTCTTGTTCTGTTTTTGTGGTGCTGGGGATTGAACCCAAGGCCTTCACATGCTAGGCAGGCACTCTACCACTGTACTACATTCCTAGCCTTTTTTATTTTATTTTGAGTCAGGGTTTCACTAAGTTCCCCAAGCTGGTCTCAAACTCTATCCTCCTGCTTCAGCCTCCCTAGCAGCTGGAAATACAAGCATGTTCCACCCGCCTGACTAGAAGCTTTTTTTTTTTTTTTTTAACCCAAGGAGGCCCCCTACATAGAGGTTTTCACTTTACTCATCTTATTGGAGCTCTGGCACATCTAATGTATTGCCAGGGTTGAGAACTCTAGAACTATTATGTACTATGGTAGCACCATGACTATTTCAGTGAATCCTAAATAACAGCCTTCCGTGAGGAAGACAATGTCAGGAAAATTAAATTGTGATCCCTAAAATCCAAAGCAAATGAGAGAAACCTAAACCCAGCAGTTGGCCCCCAACACCCAAGCTGGTGGTGGCAGAGTTTGGCGTCTGCTGTTTGGCTCCATCCTGCGTGGACAACTCTACCCTCGCCCTGAGCACACTCTGATCTCTCAGGCCCTCCTCACCCAGAGGGAGCAGGAAAAGGAGGCCCGGGACAGGCTTCGAGCACAGAGGGCTGAGATGAGGCTGCTGGAGGTGGAGAGGAAGAGGAGGGAGCAGGAGGAACAGAGGCGCCTCCAGCAGGAGCAGCAGGAGAGAGCAAAGAAGATGAGGGAGGAACTGGAGCTGGAGCAGCAGAGGCGCTCGGAGGAGATTCGGTGGGTCCACAGCTGAGAGGCCTGCGGTGTTAGGAAGCAGACAGGAAAAGCAGGGGGCAGAGTGGAGGCCACTAGCCTGAAGTAGAACCACCTGTCTCACTTTGCTTGCTCTCAGTTAGCCTAGGAACAACCTGAACCCCAGGGAAGCTGCGGTGTCTTGACCATTCGGGTTACTCAAAATAGAGGTCCATGGGCATTCTTGGGAAGGCTTTGGGAGTCAATCCAGGCAACATTTGTCAAATCCGTGCCACACTGCATGGCACCAGGCCTCTGAGACCTTGACTCTCATTTCCACACCACGAGTTTCAGAATCCACATGGAGATTGAAGCTCTGAGATGTCAGGCCTCTCCCCCAAGGCACAGAGCTGTGTACTGAAACCTCACAGCTTCTCTTCCAGATACCTTGTGTTCTTGCCTCAGTTCTTTAGTCTTGGCTTTCTTAGAAACCTGGTGTCCCCTTGGGAGGGGATGTTCCCAGGACCCACAGGCTGCAAGGTGTCCCCAGGGGAACTGCCCACCGACTTGTCCAGGGTTCTCTGCTGTCTTTGTGACTCTCTGGTGCTTTCCCAGCTTGAGGAAACAGAGACTTGAAGAAGAACGAGAGCAGCAGGAAGAGTCAGAGAGAAAGCAGCATCTCCAGTGGCAGGCGGCCCAGGAGAGAGCCCGGCAGCAGCAAGAGGAGCTCCGCAGGACACTGCAAGAACGACAGAGAAAAAAGCAGCAGGAGGAGGCTGAGAAGGCTGGTGAGAAAGTCTTGAGCTCTTTGCATCACTCATCTATTTGAGGCAGAAATATTTTTATCCCTCTGTGGGTGTTCCTGTCTTCCTAGCCTAGGCATGAGTGCATGAAGCACTCCAAACATATAAGCCATTTTTTCCAAAGTGATTATTATGTATGACTACAGTGAGCTGACCTAGAAGTCAGAATCTAAAAGGAAAGACTTGCTGTGGAGGCAGCTCCAGGGTCCCGCTCCCCATCTGGTAATCTGCTGATCAACCTGGCCCCTCTCTTTGACTTTCAGCATTGCCCGGGAGCTGCCTAAATTGGACACATAGCCCTACTGCTTGCTTCCTACCCCCGGAGATGGAGACAGACACAAATTCCTGGTTAGCCACAGGACACACTTGCAAGTGTTGATGCTGAGAAGCTTTCTAGCCTGCTTCTGAGGAAAAGATAGGGACAGACCTTAGTAGGTGATCTGTGGCCACTTCCCGGTTCTGGCTCTTAAGATGCACCGAGTTTCTCTCACCCTGATCTGACCTCTTCTCCAGCCCATCTGCATTCCACCCCACGAATGAAGCAGGCTATGGAGAAATCTTTCCTGGGGCTTTGTATTAATTGCACAGTGCACTGCATGTAGAAGGTGCTTGATAAAGGACTCAGATTAGTCAATTAACCCCCAGGTAACCCCACAGAGGGTCTGGCAGCCCGGTTATCTGCAGAATTTCTGAGAGTCCCTCGGAATCACAGGTTTGAGAGTTGGATCAGAATATGGATTTCCCTAATAATGTCCCTTGCTGAGCACCCTCCCATACCCCATCCTGCAGAGGCAGAGAAGCAAAGGCAGAAGGAATTGGAAATGCAGTTAGCAGAAGAACACAAACGCCTGATGGAAATGGCGGAAGAAGAACGACTGGAGTACCAGCGGCAGAAACAGGAAGCAGAAAAGAAGGCTCTGCTGGAGGCCGAGGAGAGGAGGCAAAAGGAAGAAGCAACAGCCAAGCTAGCTCTGGAGGAAGCTATGAAACAAGCCCAGGAACAAGCCAGGTATTACATATATGAGCAATATATGGGCCAAAAACAACTATCCTTGCACTGCCTTTGAACAAGCAGTTCCCCCCATCCTCCTCCCCATAATACAGTGGTTCGGAAGACTAAAACACAAGGAGTGATTCTGTGGCAGCAAATATCACAGAATCCCCTCATGGCTTATAGAACTTAGAACTAAATCTGGAAGGGACATTAGCAACCATTTATCTCAATCCTTTGGTTTACAAATAAGTGAGACCCCTGGTTTACAGGTGAAAAGAGCAAGTCCCAGGGCTGGAAATGTGGCTCAGTGGTAGAGCACTTATCTTACATGTGAGACCTTGGGTTCCATCTCCAGGAGAGGGACAGAGAAAGAAAGGGACCCCCAAAGCGGGGAAAGATGCTGATCAAGGCTGATCAGTCAGTTGGGCCCAATGCCAGGACCAGATCCAAGACCCTCTAACTCTGAACCCACTGCCTTCCTCAGTATTTATGAAGCGCTTACTGAATAAATTCCAGACTCTGGAAATGTATAAGTGAGCAAGGCAAACAAGGTCTCTTCTCCCAATGACACTTACATTCTAGGGAGAAAGACTCTAAGCAAACAAAAATGGGGTTTTTAGCTAGCAACAAATGCTATGCAGAAAATTTAAAAGATGTGACAAGAGTGTAAGAGGCTTAGACTGGTCAGCAAGGCAAGACCTCTCAGAAGAGGTGTCAGCTAAGGTGAGATTTGAATGACAAGGAGTTAGCCACACAACCACCTGGGAGAAAAATATTCCAGCAAGTAAACTGAAGTGCAAAGGTCTGAAGAAAGTGATGAGATAAATCGGACACATATGTTTAAATGCCACATTGTTTCTCTGCTGTGAGAAACAAAAGTGGAAATAAGGACCAAAATGTATAATGGATGTTGGGAAATGGGAAGTGTTCAAATGGGAAGGGGAACAAGGGAGAAGGGAAGGAGAATGGAAGGGACAAGAAAATAAGTGAAAATAAAAGGAAAAGATGGAAACAAAGCTTCTGTACATGGGGAGGGGAGGGGGCTTGAGGGGGGATAGGATAAAATAAAGTAAAATTTATTTTAAAAAAAGAAAAAAAACAACAACAAAAGAGAAGAAGAAAGAGACTGACATGCTGGAAGAATTTTTTAAAAAAAGCATGGCTGGAATGAAATGAACCAGGGGCAAAGAATACTTGCAGATGAAGTCAGAGAGGTGGGCCAAGACCAGATCTAATGAGGGCCTTGTCAGAAAAGAGCACAGAATCAAAGGCACCCAGGGCTGAAGGCATCCTCCCTTCATTTTCCCACAATAGTAATGGTCTTTGCATCTTTCTGATAACAGAATGTCTTAAGTAGTGTGGTTTCAGTAGACCCTTCAAAAAAAAAAAAAGTAGGTCCTCTGTAGTTGCTATGTATAAATTTCCCTCCTTAGTGAAAGCAACTGGGAATCCCCTTCTAGAATAAAATACTGAAGGAGAGCAGCACAACCCAGAAACACTGCTTGATTCTAACCTTAACTATAAACACTTTTCCCCTTGAAATATATTTCCCACAACTTGCGCTGAACCTAAAGCAACACAAACAATCTATTTTAAGGGTTTTTCACTAAACTTGAGCTGTTTCTCTTCTGGATTTTTTTCAGCTGTTATTTGAATTACAAAATGAATAATTAGATAAAACCTGATTCCACTTCAAAATTATGGATTCTGTGTATCATAGCAATGGGGTTGGATTCACAGAAGGAGTAATGAGACCAAGGCCAATTTCCAATTGGGAAATTTCTTGGGAACTCCAATTTCCCAAGAAAACTGACAGTCATGAGGGGAAAATTAACCAATTTTTGTTTTGTTTTGTTTTTTTGAGTCAGAGTCTTGCTTTGTAGTTCAGGCTGGCTCTGAACTCACTATGCAGTCCAGGCTGGCCTCAAACTCCTGGTGATCCTCCTGCCTCAGCCTCCCAAGTGCTGGGACTATAGCATGCACCAGCATACCCACCCTGGAAATTAAGTAATTTTGTAAGGCAAATCCAACCAGCTGAAAGTAAAAAAGCAAGGAAGTGAAGGAGTAGGGGATAAAGTCTCACTCCACCAAGGGTTAGGAATTGATACCAGCCAGTGTTCTTCCATCTTCACTTGTGTGACACAGGCCCAGGTACCTTAACTGTTCTGGTCTCTTTCCTCATCTCCAAAGCAAAGGAGTCCCTTCCAGCAGTACAAATTTAAGAACTGAATTACACCTTTCTTTACTCTTCTAGAGACTTGTGATATCCTAAACCTCATGTTATAAATGAACAAAGTACGATCTTCTACTGAATTCCAAGATCAATTGCTGGGCCGGGGATGTAGCTCAGCAGCACCTTGCCTGCCTGGCAAGTGTGACGTCCTGAGTTCGATCTCCGGTACCAAAAGCAGCACAAAACAAAAATAAACAAGATCAATTGCCCCAAGTCTAACTGATGATTGCTCAAATCCAAAGCACTAACAATTCACAAGTGCTAGGGATTTAGCTCAGTAGTTCTGGCACCTGCCTCGCAAGCACAAGGTTCCGACAAGATCAATCCCTGGTACCAAAAAAGCAAAAAACAAAAACAAAAATAATTATGCTGGAGATTTAGCTCAGTGGTTCCACTGACTGCCTCGCAAATACAAGGTTCTGAGTTCAATCCCTGGTACCAAAAAAAAAAAAAAAAATTCACAAGCACCATTTCTAGAATGCTCAATTGCTGGGATTTGGGGTGGGATTGTCTTCTTAGGCAAAAAGCTGCTTTGGAGAAGCATCTTCGTTTCCATCAAGAACTCCGTAAGGAAGCCAGTGGCCTACAGTGGACACAGAGCATTTCCAGACCGTGGGTTTATTCTTATTTCCAGTTCCTACGAATGCCCAGGCTGTGAGGCTAGAAGAAAGCTAAAAGTAAGTTGGGAGTGATGACAGAAAGAGAAATTTCCTTTCATAATGAAATTCCACCCTGAGCCCAGTTAGTTTTGTTTCATCTGGTTCATATCAAGCCACACCTAGGGTTTTCTCTACCCTGGAACTGCCATTGCCACTGCCCCCCCCCATCTGTTCAACTCAATTAAACTCTTTTCATTTAAATCCTTTACCTTCTTGAAAACCACATAAATCCAGAAACTCTGGTGCCACATATTTACATAATTTCAGTTTGAAACACTAACATACTTTTAGGATACTCAATGTGTTTCATTTCAATGTGTCTGAAAGAGTTGAAGGTAAATAGAAATTTTGTAATGCAAATAATTCTGCATTAGCTAAGACAAGCTAATTCACATTTTTTCATATTAAGAAATCTCTTGAGGTTGGGCATGGTGGTGCACACCTGTAATCCTTGCACTTGGGAGACTGACTCGGGTGGATACAAAGTTTGAGGCCAGCCTGTGCTACTTAATGAGACCCTGTCTCAAAAACACAAAACAAAGCAAAACGAAAGAAAAAAAATCCCATTACAAAACCACAGCCATTTCATCCCAAGAATCTAAAATTAGATTTCTATTTAGGAAAAGGTATGGTTTTTTTTTTGGTTTTGTTTTTTGGTACCAGGCATCGAACTCGAGTCCTTGCGCTTGTACAGCAGGCAGCAAAACCACTGAGTTAAATCCCCAGCCCCAGGAAAAGGTATGTTTTCAATTACTTGATAAATGTTGGATCCCAGGTACCAAAAAAAAAAAAAAGAAAAAAGAAAAAAAGATAAATGTTCATTTGCACAAAATGAACTGTTGTTTTGTATCTCACATCCCCCCGGTACCGATCCTAGAATAGCACTGTCAATAAGGGAGCCATCAGCCACATACAGCTATTTAATAAAACATTCTTCAGCCCCACTAGATATATTTAAAGCAATCAGTGGCCACATGTGGCAGCACAGATATACAGTAACATTTCCACCACCACAGAAAAGTTCCATCAATGTTTTCAAACCCTGAAAATTAACAAATTTTGAGATTTTGCTAACTGTGCCCTAAAGAACCCACCAACAAAACTTTAAAATCACACTGACACTACCAGAAGTCTTGACTAGATAATTCATCTTATTTTGTTGTTTTGGTTTTGGTTTTGGGGGCTTTTTTGAGAGGGTCTTGCTGTATAGTTCAGGCTGGCCTTGAACTCTCAGTAATCCTCTTGCCTTAGCCTCGAGTGCTGGGCATTACTGTCTTTTTAATACTGAATAAACCATCCTTTGGAACAAAGTGCCACAGAATGATTAAAGTACACGAAAAGGAACAAGATGTATAAAGTGATGTTGAATCAAACAATCATCTGAACCTGAAATTTCCCTTAAATTTCCCTTGGACCTACTCTATGCTCCGTTGTCCACAATTAAAATATATTTGCAGGAAATTTCCTTCAATTTCTCATTAATGCTCATGAGGTATTTGCTTGTACAGGAATTGTACCTCTACAACCCAGAAATTGAGCTTAATTTGGATTCTATATTGCTGTTATTGGACTTGCTTAGATTTGATGCTTGCTTTCACTCCTTATTTAATGTAAAACAGAAATAAAGTAGCCAACACACTGGCATAGTGAATTTAAATGTCATTTAGATTTTTCTCAAGCTTCTGGACCCTAATACATTCATTCATTCAGTTAAAAGTACTTAATCAGGTAAAAGCATCTCAAATAATTCACCAAGAAAAGAAGAAACACTTAAGGAAAACATCCCTGTGAGGTAAATGAACATTACTGATTTTTTTTCTCCCTTCTTTTACAAATTTAGGATATTGTAGTCAAGTACCAGATAGGATGGCTATGCTGTTATTCAAAGTCCCTCCAAATTAATGTTCTATTAATTTTTTGCTGTGAAGTACCTATTTCATCAGGTGTTTGTTTTGGCTTTTTTTTTGGTATCAGGGATCCAACTCAGGACCATGTGATTTCAAGACGGGCGTGGCACCACTGAGCTAAATCCCCAGCCCGTTTTGTTGCTGAGACAGGATATGGCCTTGAACTCTTGGTGATTCTCCTGCCTCAGGGATGCACCACCTCACCCAACTAGATAAAGCACATTTTTACATTAACTATAGCAAAGTGCAGTACAGTTAGAAGAATCCAATAAACTAAAAACAAGAAAATCACTTCTCCAGTAGCTAGGCTCCACCACCCAAATGCTTAAGAGCCTTCAGATGTTTAAAAATGAAAACAAAATTGACACTAAACTACATGTTCATGAACACTGGATAGCTCCAAAAGCCAAAGTTTTGTTGAATTTAATATTGATAAAAATAAGACCCATGAGGACTTTCTAAAGCTGAGCCTAATTCCTAGTCACTAATAAAATGCATGACAGTCAAAACACTCTTAATTCATTCAGTGGTAGAGTGCTTGCCTAGCATAGCTGGGATCTTGGCCTCAATTCCAGGTACTGAAAAATAAATTAAAAGAGTTCTAATTTACACATACAAATAATTTTCAGTAAAAGTTGATTAAGCTCAGGCCAACCTTTTTTTTTTGGTACCAGAGATCGAACTGAGGACCTTGTGAGGCAGGTGGCAGCACCACTGAGCTAAATCCCCGGACCCAGGCCAACCTACTTTTCAGCAAGTGACCTGACTAGGGTGTGGTGTAAGCTTTAAATTTATGAACACACCTGAGAACAGCTTTTCTTTGCTCTTCTCAAGTAGTCAGGTACTATTTAGGCAACATGAAACCAAATCACATGTATACACAGGTTTACTGAATTCTGAGATTAAAGAGTCAAGGGCCAGGGATGTAGCTCAGGGGCACTGCGCCTGCCTCGAAAGCACAAGGTCCTGAGTTCGATCCCCAGTACCAAAAAAAAAAAAATTAAAGTCAAAAGGAAAAGTGCTCTGAAAGGAACAAACTAATGCGGTGTTCTTTAATTGTATACATTTAAAAGGGCTGGGAATTTAGCTCAGTGGCACTGTGCCTGCCTCAAAAGTGCAAGGTCCTGAGTTCAATTCCTGGTACTGCAAATAATAAATAAATAAAAATAAAGATATATAGGAAAATGGGCTGGGGATGTAGCTCAGTGGCATTGTGCCTCCCTGGCAAACATAAGGTCCTGAGTTCAATCCCCAGTACCAGAAAGAAAGAAAAAAAAAGATATACAGGAGAATATGAACCAAATATACCAAACTTAAACAGAGAATATTTTGCAAAAAAATTTTTTTTGAGACAGGATCTTGCTATGTAGTTCAGGCTGGCCTTGAACTCCCTGTGATCCTTCTGCCTCAGGCTCCCAAGTGCTGGAATTATAGGTGTGAACTTCCACACCCAGCCTTGCAAATTGTTAGAGAACTGAAATTATCAGTATGAACCAATTCTTAATTTCCGATGTGACCATCACTGGGTAACTGTATGTATACACCACACAGAATATCAAGTTTTTTAAAAAACCAAACACTGAGTGTGTGGGTTATCACGGCCTTAAACTTCTTGATTTAGAAGGCACTTCAGTAATGGAGGCTTTTGCAGGGCTTCAAAGTCACTAACATCACCATGGTACAGCACTTTTTCTTTTTGTTAGTTTCTTGAGACAGGGTCTCGCTATAGAGCTCAGGCTGACCTTGGACTTCCCGAGTATCCCAGGCTGGACACAAAGTCATGGCAACTGTCTTGCCTCACCCTCCCAAGTGCTGGGATTACAGGCATGTACTACCATGCCTGGTCACTGTACAGTACTGAAGAAATACTTATACTGTGTCCAAATAATTTCCAACATTATGCTAGAAAACCTTATTTTAGGCATTTTTCTTTTTTTCCTATACAATGAAAAAAATAAAGCACTAGTACAGTTTTTACAAATATTGTTTATTTTAATGAAGCTGGTACACACAATGTCCATTTAAAACCCATATCCCAGGCCAAAAAGTACAAACAAAATCAAAAGGAGCAGTGTTCTGTTGTATACATGTCTGCATGTGTAACTTTATTAATTGCTAGTGAAAATTAGAACTTTTCTGGGATCTTCTGACAAGATTTTTTTTCAATCTTAAACTGCTTTCTCTTCAGTGAAGCCATCCTTGGAGTTAGTCACTACTCTCAGCATGTCTGTCATCTTGACTCCAAAGCTGATCTTCCTCTTCTTTTGGTCCAGACCCTCAGATTTTAAGCTTCCAGTTAAGGAAAGATCATCTTTCCACAGTTTGGTTCTCTGAAAAACTTCCATCTCCCACTGCAAGTCATAGTCCAGGAGTGAAGCAATCGTAAGCTCGAACTTCAGGGCCAATTGGAAAGTCATATGAACAATCACATTGGTCGATCTTATTACCACAATCCTGAAAATGCACAGTCCTGAAAAATGCGGCCTCTCTGTGCACTCACGTAATTTTTAAAAAGGAGAGGACAATATGAAGGAAGCTGAGGTTTGATTACCAAAAATCAGCACAATGAAAACAATGATGAATAATGAGCACTAGAATTCAAATTACCAGATGTTTTAAAGAGATGGGGTGCCAGTTTTCATTTCCATTTTGAACACCACATTACAAAAGAACTATTTTTTAAAAATAAAAAAGGATTGACGGGAAAGAAAAAAAATAAAAAGAATATCTAAACCGTTGAATGACCCCCTGTTTGTTCCTGATAAACTTCAATCACATCTTCTTCCTCCATTCCCAGCTGTAAGAAAGAAAAATGTATTAGGAGAAGAAGAAAAAAGCACTATTTTTAAATTGGTTTCAATTATGGACCAAAGGGTCAGGGATTTAGCTCAGTGGTTCCACCACCTGCCTCGAAAGCACAAGGTCCCAAGTTCGATCCCTAGTACTAAAAAAATTATGGAGCACTTCACTTTAAATACTTTAAATACTTTAAAGTGAAGAAAGAAAAAAAAACCAGAAGTGACCTACAGTTAATTACACTGCTCTACAATGAAGAATCCTGTGTGCTTTCATCTAAAGAACATACTGTTGCCTAGCACACACAGGCCCTGGGTTCAATTCCCAATGCCATAAAAACAAAAACAGAGGGCCAGGGATTTAGCTCAGTGGTACCATGCCTGCCTTGAAAGTGCAAGGTCCTGACTTTGATCCCTGGTACCAAAAAAAAAAAAAAGCTCATAGAGGTATGTGTTTCCTGTGTCTATCCAGTCATTTCTTTTACTTTCTTTTCTTTTTTTTTTTCTTTTACTTTCTTGAGTCAACCTGACTTGGAAATTTATTCATTATACAAAACTGAAGTGTGCATATAATACCATTAATATCAAATTATTTACATTTTTTTACTCATTCTCTCATGAACATAAAATGTTTTCCAGAGGCTACAAGACAGGTGCAGAGATGTTTACAGCAGCACAATTCATAACAGCTAAATCTCAGAAGCGGCCCGTATGTCCATCAATAGATGAATGGATAAAGAATGTAGTGTTTACACACCCTGGAGTACTACTCTACCATAAAGGATAAATCTGAGTCATTTGTAGGAAAATGGATGCACCTTAAGACCATAATGTTAAGTGAAATAAATCAGACACACAAGCTTAAATACCACATGGTTTCTCTTACATGAGAAACCTAAAGTAAAAATAAGACAGATAATAGAGAGTAGGGAGAGAGATCTTCCTCAAATGGAAAGGGAGCCAGGCGTGGTAGTGCATGCCATCACTCCATTGGCTGAGGCAGGAGAATCACTGTGAGTTCAAGGCCAGCCTGGGCTGCACAGCAAGACCCTGTCTCAAAAAAATAAAATAAAATAAATTAAAATAGGAAGGGGATCAAGAGATGGAAGGGGAGGAAAGTAAGGGATGAAAAAGAAATGAAGATGTGTTGTGTGCACAGACCAACTCCACATAAGGAATGTAAACATTGTGTACTGCACACATGTACTAATAAAATTACATATATACAATAAAACTTAGTAGCTTCAAAAAACAAAAAATGAAGTTTGGTTTTTTTGACATTACTAGGGATCAAAGCCAGGGCTTCTTGCATACTAGACAAGTGCTAACACTGAGCTGTATCTTTGGCCCTCTTTTGTTTTTTCCTTCTTTTTTTTAATGTGTTTTAAATGCACTGAAATAATTCTAAAAGGTTTTTTCCAATGACATTATTATTAACAATGGTGGCTTCTGAGAAATAGAAATTCTCTGGAAGTATTCAAGGTACATTTATTTTCTATTTTCTACTCTTTGGTAGTTTGGTACTATCAGCATTCTTTATTTAAAAAAGAAAAGACAGTGCCTAAGGGGTCATGGCAACACAGTATCAGACATTACCCTTAGTGAGGGCAAAAGACTGAAGCTTGATTCCACTGTGCTGTCAAAGTAATGTAAGAGGCAGGGTAAAAACAAAAACTACGCAAGGTCCCAAGTTCAATCCCTGGTACCAAAAAAAAAAAACCCACAAAAACTAGTATTGTTGGGCCAGGGATTTAGCTCAGTGGTTCCACTCCCTGCCCTGTAAGCGCAAGGTCCTGAGTTTGATCTCCGGTACCAAAACAAAAACTAGCATTGTTTCCAAAGAAAACTATAATGGATCACAAAAACAAATGAAAAAGGAAAATAAAAAATCAGTTATTTCCAAAGAGAAAAGTGTTTTTTTTTTATTTTGTGGATGACATTTTTGTGGAGAATTATAAAATATCAAAGTTGGGGCCGG